ATGAAGGAGGATTTATGGAATGCGCCTTAAAGGCACAGTCCACCTTTCTAAAAAAAAAAAAAAAAAAAAAATCGAACTTTATTAGATCCCGCAACTGTTTACATCCAGCCCCAAAAAGACCCGTAGACTTCTATGGAGCTACATCCTGGCTTATCCCTGAGTCCATCAATGTACTTTCAGGGCACGCTACAAATTCACACCTTTGCACGTGCATTACTGCAGTGTGTGTGTGTGTGTGTACACACACCCATGGTGCACATGTACATACAGGTCCCATGTCTGTCACATGCCTATAGGGGGGGTACAGATACAGAGTGCGGGGTGTGAATTATATAGACGCACACATTTAATCAGATGACATCTACCTATAATAAATCGGTCTAGTCACAGCAGCAGATTTAAAGTGCCAGAAGGCATTGGCATGTATAGCCAATGATTAATTAGAGGGGGGAGGGGTTTATGGGTTTTTTTTTAGGCAGAATAAGCAATGTGTACACTATTTGGAGTTATGTTTTATTGGTTTGCGTATTAATTATGGAACAAAATATAAACGTCATGCAATTCTGCCTTTTTTGTACTGTAAGGCCTCATTCACACTGGAATCGGCCGACGCGTACAGCTCTGTGCTGCGCGCACGACCGTATCGGGCAGCTCCTGGGAAGGACAGGTGCTGCGTGTGATTAGTACGCAGCCCCTGTCCTCTATGGGACAACGTGGCCATACGCCGCCCGGAACATCCGTACAGGTGCGGGTGAGTGTACTCGTACTCTGACAGGATGGTTCCTAGCTTCGTCCGAGCCGGGACACCCCAGACATCCCAACTCTCCCGGACGCTCCGGGATTCTCCAGCTATTGGCAGACGATCGAGCCGATAAACCTCCATAGCTAGATTCCTATTGGCTATTGCACTTTGCAATAGCCAATAGCAAACTAGGTAATGTACCCGCCCACTGCTGCTGTCAATCAGCAGAGGGGGACCTGAATTTTTCTATCAGGTCCTCTTCTGGTTATTGAAAGCAGCAGAGGGCGGGTGCAATAGCTAGTTTGCTATTGGCTATTGCAAAGTGCAATAGCCAATAGGAATCTAGCTATGGATT